TCTGTCGAGATGTGTGGTGCCACCCTGAGACATGAACAAATGCCTCAATGGCGTCATGCCGAGACAGATAAACTATATGTGATGTTTAGTCAGCATTGTCCGCACAGATTGCTTAAAAGGCGCGGACCTTGTCATTATTTAGAAGAAATTCAGAGTATTTTTTCATACCATTTCAAGTGTTCTACAATCTCTTTCACGATCTTCCAACTAGGATTTGATAATTTTTTAATAACATTTAAGCCAGAATTTATTTTTCTCTCAAAGGCATCAAGCTCCTCTCCAATGCCTACAGCACAGGTATTATAGGATAGGATAAAAATTGCGGCTATCCGGATGGCCTTAAGCGCCGTTGGTAGGATGACCTGTGAACTTTGAGACAAAAATCCACTTTTTTCGGTGTTAAAAATCAAAAACCAGTCATATACATTTCCCCCAAGGTTATTAACTCGGGTGAAAGGACTGTTGAAGCCGTCTCAACCTCTTAAGTTTCAGATGCAGCGCCATGTGAGACCACACTCACCTCCACTGTATCACGGCAGACATGTCCCCTGATACATAGCTCCTAATTCAGCATGGTGTAACACCTTTTATGGATCCTGACGCACCTCCTGCCAGGACTCTAGGGCTCAGTCTTCAGTTCATGGATGCGATGGAAACACCCTTAAACTTCTCTCTGCATGTCCGCATATCTACACACATGTTGTAAGAGGACAGAGTTGGCATGACTTGGGAACTTGTCACACCTGAGAATTGGGATGTCCAAATATCGGGAGTATCCAGCGAATCACTTCGTAGGGTCATCTACAAAAAAGTCGTGGATCATAACCAAGAGAGAGAGAGGCCTACAGATGCAGTGATGCCAGTCCACGCGCTTTCCTGGCCTTTTTCTCAGGCTCTAATTTCGAATAGAACTATCTTTCCTCGGGCCTGAAGTAAGTTTAGATGTGCTTATGGGAATAGTTCAATCAATTGGTAGGTACCTATATTCCATTCAATTTTAGTCGAGCAAGAACGGAGTACATATTACCCTTTGTAGCTTCTCAACATGTTCCATTTCTGCAATTTTCAGCCGCCACGGATACTATCTCTTGGCTTTTCATTCATTTAATTTTATCCATCCAATGCATACGATCCACAACTATCGACACTCTCGAAGGTCCGCTTGTGATCGTTGTCGTGGGCAAAAGTTGAGATGCGAGCGCGATCTTATGAATGGCATGTCTTGCGAGCGATGCCTCAAGGCCCAAGAAATGTGCATCACAAGCATGAACCGCCCTGCACCGGTTACTTTACCCTCAAACCATGGTCAGAACCTACTTGCACGAGATGACCGTGAGCGCCAAAGATTCGATCAAAGGCATGAATCAATGTCTGTGCTTCATAAATCGTCCGGCTCCAGAGTGGAGAAGTTGTTGCATTCCCCTTCTCCGATCCCAGAGAGACGCAACATGGAAGAGCACCATTACTGGGGAGAAGCAGCGGCAATGCCTAATTTTCCTGGAGGCAGCTTTCCTGCATCCTCAGCAGACATTAGGTTTAATATTCCCCTAGGGATTGGAAACTTCATGGCTCCAGTTGAGCATTGGGGTCATCCTCATTTAAGTTTGTCAACCGATGCCTATAACCTAGTAAGTTGGAACATTACGGGATACAGACCGGCCATCTGCTGACTATTAATCACCGTAGCCTTGTGATTGGATGCCATCGAACCAACAATATCCTTGCGAGGCAAAATCTTGTTTTTCCTCTGTTTTTACCAGTATTGCTCCGACAAGCACTAGGCAAGCCACTGAAATTGCAATTCCCGAGCCTGTTCAAACTAAGCGTCTCAACTATGACGAGAACGAATCGCTATTTGCAATCAAGGACCTTCCAGATCCAGTATGGGAGGATCACCGAGACCTTGCAACTATAACCAAGCCTCTTCCAATAACAACATGGCAAGAAGGTCTACCCTCTACTTCCAAGCTAGAGATTCGTAAGAGTCTCTTGAGATTGAAGGGGGGGGATTTTAGAGGATTTAGAGCTTTTAGAGACCAGATCGATGCTTATACAATCTTCACCACTTTTCTGTGAAAATTCTGGTTTCTCGATTGAGACACTTGACCTTCCAATATATCGTCTACTTGATCATTCTTCTTGGCTTTTGGCAATTGTTCGATCTTCATGTGGTGCCACGGAAGAGAGCTTGGAGGTTCTACTTGCTACACAAATATTTGAATCGGAGGGTGGTGGATGTGAAGGCTCTTCGTTTATCCTTCCTGGTGAAGGCTCTTCGTTTATCCTTCCTGATGCTGGCGAAAATGGTGGAGATGAAGATCTCACCACAGCATCCCCACATGATTCCGGGTATCAAACCACTGCAGCATCTCCGGATCCAGCGACAACTCCCACAGTCCCGAAATGCGATATAGCATTGTGGCTAGGTATATTGGAGGCGCATTGTTCACTAGTTCGCATCTACCATGCTGTTTTCATGCGGTTATACCAACTATTTCTCATCATTCCCCCAACTGATGCAGCCACGATTCTGTTGTTACCGAAAGTGCGATTTGGGCAGTTCATTTTGGAAGGAAACCTCGTTGTCCAGGTTCAATCATTGGTCGATTTTGGCTCCAAAATGATGGAAGAGCTTGATCAAGCCCTTAAATTGCGGTCAAGCTCAGCTCAGCCCCAAGAGGATCGATTCAACCCATCCGAAACAGTCCACCAAAAAGATTGGTCAACGTCAATCCGCGAAATTGTCTTATCACAAGAACAAGAACATTCTGAAATGTCGTTGGAGGAAATAATGAAGTGCTTGCGTCAACTTGTCAAAGACCCAGTGGTTGATTAGGTATGGTCTATCGGAATTCTCAACAACATTTAAGAATATCTACTTGTTCCTTCAATTTGCATGTTTCTAGAACCAGGCGATTTAGACAAATTCAGTTGCCAAATTATAAGAGAAAGATGACTAGAAGTGTATCTACCGATCATTTCAATGAAGAGTCACGTAAAGTTGAAAAAGTGTATCTTCATACTGTTGATTCTCACAATCTGGGCCAAAAAAGGTGGTAGAAGGTTCCTCTATGGTTCAGCAAAGAGAAACATTGGTTTGAAATGGAAACTATACCATATTCGATCCTTTTCAATATGAGACCACTGGTGTTGATGGGCTGCCGCAGTCTATGCATGAATGAATAGTTCCGCTCGACATTCCCTGCATGTTCGGACACCGAGTCCGAGTCCGATTTTGATTTAGAATCTGTTTGACAATCCCTAGAGTACGGAGTTCAGCAGACTCAACTCCACCTTCAAAAGGAACGAGTCGCCTCATTGCCACAGAGAGATACTTTTCAATCGAGGAAGAACAGAAGTCTTTTCAACTCATTTGCCAATCCGCCCCCCTCCCAACAATGGCTATACCTGATTTCAAAGATGTTCCTGATCTCACTGGAACCTGGGTATTGGTAGGATTTCCTGATTTGACTACTTGCCTTTAAAATGGGCTAACATGATGATCAGAACCGAAAGCTGTCGACCGATCCAGATGAAGTTTTCGTCTTGGTAAGAGCAATAGTAAATTGGTATATTGGCATGGTCTTGCTAAGAATGAATAGCAAGGTGTACCTTGGGTTGTCCGAAAGGTCTTGCGCCACGCCCGACTTGATGATGATGATGATGATGATG